ACACTTTAATTAATGGTATTCTAAAATGATTTGAATGTAACACAAAAATATACTCATATAGTGTATGAATCAGTGGCGGCTCGTCAGATGAGGCAAGTGAGGCGGCGCCTCACAGCACATATCTTAAGAACAGATTGACTTAATTTGTAATTAAAAAAGAGCTTTCAATGCATTTTTAGTTACAAAAATATGTTGAAATGGCAAATCTGTAGATGATTTTTTATTTTTTACGTTTCTGCTGACATTTTCGGTTGAATACCGTACGATTTATGCCCCTAGTTCTTTAACTGAAGCGGTCAGAACGTCGGTTCACTTGAACCAACGAAGCCCAATCACAGACACGGATTTCCATGGCTCAGCCTGGCTCAGCTCCTATACTCCTATACATGCTTTCGCTAGGAACTGAGGCGATATCTTCGGTGCTTCTCGACCATTTTCGGCGTACTCATTAAACCATTTTCCCATTTATTTTACAGAACGGAAGGGTTGCGGGGTGCGTGTGTAATTAGCATGAACGTGAGTAAAAACCCACGTGTTGATGTTTCGTGTTTTTGTCTCTTTCATAGGTACAGGTGAGTGAAAAATGAATCCCGAGTACCATATCGTCATGTTCCATTTTGAAACGCCGTTTTCAAGACGAACCGAGCTAGAACGTTGGCAAATTTTGCTAAATATTGAGCAGTCAAAACCGTTAATTCATTTAACTTCCATTAATAAGAGACAGAAACGTTAGTACTCAAGTCTTTTAAATCAACTTGGTGCGAAACATATAAATGGTTCTGCCGTAATATTCGTACGACGTCCCGGGATATAACGATTTAAATAATTTCATCGGAAGTGCAACGTTACATGAAAATTCCAAAGTACACATTAAAAATTTCATGGGTCTAAAACCTTTAGAAAGGAACACAACAACTATTCCCGAATCCCTCCAAGAAAGTGCTAGTTTAAACAAAATTTTGATTTATAAAAACATTGTTGATTAAATGTGTTATGGGTGTTATTATTATTATTATTATTAATATCATTATTGTCAAACTTCTATCATCGCCTCACCACATCAGACAGTCACGAGCCGCCACTGGTATGAATCCACTTTCAGTTTTTCGCTAAACGTTCAAATGTTCGCAAAAAAATTTGCGCAGTTTATTTTCGACAAGTCTCCGTAGCGCAGTGGGTGTATCGGTGACAATGGCGACCTGCGGTACTGTGATTGTGGTTCGGTGCCGAACTTGGCTCCCGTCCCTTTTTTTTTCTTGCATTGTGACTACTTTTCTTTTATGGTGAGACTAGAATTATCCATGTTGACGATGCCATCACAAATTTTTTATTTGTCAAATTAAGAACAAGTCACCCCATTTTCGCGAAGATGTGAAGAATACGCAGGTCTTAAATAAATCATGATAAAACAAAAATTATAATATTCAAAACATTTCGTTCGATTGTGGTTTAATTAATATAGAATTTTACTCTTGTTTTGAGAAGACAAACTCATTCAAATCAAACAAATTTCTACATGACATTCTTTCGATGTAAACATAAATAACAACTTGAGCTTCAGATTGCGCTTACCTACTGCTGAAGGAGAAGGAGTGTTATTTATGTCTCTAGTTTTTACTTTACAGCGATTATCACAAAATGAAAATCGTAAAATCAAATTTTATAATTTTTTTAAAGAGCTGGATGGTATAGCCTTCGACCAGTTTTTTATTGATCAAATTAAAAACCACAATTAGATTTGCTTATACAGGGTCACTCAACACAATTTATGGATCAGTCAATTTATTTTATAGAATTAATCAAGAATTGCAACACTGAATACTTTGAAATATTGCACTCGTTTTAAACTTATTGTAAGTATAGTAAATTGTTAATAAAAATCTATCTATTCCTCCCAAAAAATTGATGACGTCATCTCAAAATTTTGCCGAATAAATTCTACCCAAAATGTGCAAAATATGATGAGTTTTTACTTGTGATTTATCATTGCATTCATATTTTTTTTGATTTGCTTAGATAGGTAGCTCAAAAAGATTAATGAATAAGACAATTAATTTTATTGATTCTTTTAGGAATACTATAATGTTATTTTTAGTATCACACTACAGCAATCTAAGTTAATATACGTGTCCTTGCAAAAATGTTAATGACCTCATCGCAAAATTGTGTAAAGAAAAAATTCAACTTGAAAATGCTGGATATGTTTCATTGCATTTTAGGAGCGAGGGAAGTTCTGTCGAAACAAATTTCGACCATTTTTTTAAATTTTTGAATCAACAGTAAAACATCCTGTGGTATCTATAATAGCGTCATAAAATGTACAGCCATTTAAACCGATAAGGTAATGTCCTAAACGCTTTTTTGTATATTATTAAGTCAACAAAAGTGGTTGAAAAATTGTATTATTCTTTTTTATAAGACTAAATTTCCGCAAATTATAAGTAGAGTTGTCATCAAAAATGCATTCTTTTTTTTCCTTAAGTAAGCAAGTGGGTCCATTTTATATGACTCCTCGAATATTATATGATAGATGTAGTTTATCATGCACAATTTGTTTAAAATTGTAGGAATTATCTCATTTTAACCACATAAGACAACAATCTTTCAATTTTTAAGATTTTCCAATGTTGAGGTGCTTGACAGAATTAATATTTTTCATAACATTAAATTTTATTTTGTTAGTGGACTATTTATCGTCTTTCAGCTTTCTTTGTTACATTACATTCGCGTAAGTTTTGACATTGTGTGCATCAACCTCAGAAGATTTAGTATGTTCATAATAAATACGCATTGGCTAAATTATTATTATTAAATTTAATAATTTCATTGCGTATAAGTTCCGATTCTCTTCAGTTGTTTTGAATTGTCACTTTTAATTCAGAAATTGTATCTATTAATGGTTCTAACTACATGTTTAGGCACGATGTTGTCAATCATTTTTAACACCTGAGGCGATAAGCCAGCGTCACTGGAAATAGTCACAAATCATGTTAGGATTTTCGACAGGGACAGAAGCAATTGACCAAAAACTGCAAAGCCAATTACTGGGTTTAGCTAGTTCTTTCTACTTATAAGAATCCTCAACAATCGTTACACACTAGCAATGAAAATGCAATTCGCACGCCCTACACGACAAATAATTTTCAGTTCGAGTGATAGTGCAATTGCACTTAGAAGATTTGATTGACATGAAATTAAGAAGCCAGTGCTGATAAATCACACTGCCTCGTCTACGGGGTCAGATAGCGACGATGGTATATACGCAAAAACAGATGAACAAAAAATGGGGGCACTATGAAGAGAAGCAAGAACATTAAAGATTTACAAGTGTAGGTCACTCATCGACCCTCACTTAAGGGGTGTAGACGCAGTATCTAAGGTGTACGTTGGCCAGTTTCCAACAAAAAAACTTTGCTAAAAGCGCGCAGAAGTTGAATATTAGAAGACCGTAGACAGATATAAACGGGAGACTATTTTTTTGTACTAGCGGCCATAAAACGTCTAGAAAATATGAAAGGAGCAAGTGGCCTGATGAACTCGATTACAGTACTACACAATTAGCTTACCCTCAAGAGTAAAAATTATAAACTTTTGGATCTAGAATACCAGTAAATGCACAGACTTTTAATCAAAGTAAATTATTATTGGTGAGAAAACAGACAAATTATAAATTTAATGTAAATGGTCTAAACCAACCAAAACTTTGGACAGTTTGTTATTAATTTTTAATTTTTTGAAATTTAAACTGTTACTTTTTCTTTTAAACAATAAATTTCGTTTTCATTCTTATGCAATAAATATTGGCAGAACTCTTTTTATAAATTTAATCACCGAAGGCGATGAGTGGGCGGGATTTATTCTTAGATCATATAATAGATACCAATACTCAAACTGAAAGCTGTGACTAGACATGAAGCTATCTGTTGTCGTTTTCTACGTCAAGGGGAGTAGTATAATGCTATCATTGTGTGATCACCACATCTTCATCTTTGTTATATGCATTTCATCTGTATATGTCTATTTCACTTCCATCCTTGTACCGCACCAGCGCAACAAATTGCTTTTGACAGATGTTTCTTCTAACCTGTCTTTCATAACGGATCACAATCGCTTCCCCAATAATTTACTATTCCTTTCGTTATGTACTGTGACTTATTTATAAATTCAAGCTGTCAACATCTTTCGTACGAAGTTAGTTCAGACATACTTCCTAAAATTTAGACGCTAAAGATTCAAATAGTGATCACTGATCAGGCAAGGATAGCTTCATTGTAATCCCTCTATTCACAAAAGAGATGTGTGACAGGAGGATGTCGTCACAGGCTCTCCTAGGGAAAGAACACGGCGTGTTGGTATCTATTTATTATATGATCTAAGGGTTTATTATATGTTCTTCGTCAGAGTGGGAGTGGTGAATAACTGACAGAAACTAGGCTGTAAAAAAACGCTAATCGTAAATTTTTTGTTGTATTTTTTGTGATAAGATTTATTTCTTATTTCAGAATCAAAAAACTGTAGATATATATATATATATAAGAATTAGGTATGTATACAACTGATAATATTCACAGTCAGCGACCTATAAAACAGTTTATTAACAAACAGAATTAAGCAAGTAATTTGTTATGTGGTACTGCTACTGCCTATAATGCGGCATCGTGACAAATGTTACTAGTGACTAAAAATCCCTAACTGTACAACTCAAATTGTGGCACCAAACATGCATCTGTCAACACCTTCCCTCAATTTGAGGGTCGCGGAAATTTGATCGAAAGACAATTGTTCGAAAAACAAATTATCGAAAGCATTTCATTGAAAAACAATTAATCGAAAAAACAATTGATCGAAAAAACAATTGATCGAATAACAAATGACCGAAAAGGAATGAGATCGAAATGCAAAATTTCGAAAACCTGAAACACTGTAGGAACGATTCTGTTAACTCAGAACTTTTTTATTTATAAACAATGACAATAAATAATTCAATATTAATAACATGGTTAGATAATTAAAGAAATCCTTCGCAGATACTGCTCAATTTCATCGTCACTATAAAGTTCGTCGAACTCTGAACATACATTTTGCAACCTAGTATTTGGGTTCTTGTATTTTTTCTTCAGCATTCTCTCTCCCGTTCTTTCCCTGCTAATTTTGAGCTCGGTTGTGGTTTGTTCTCGTTGAATGGTATCGAGAAAATTCCACACGGACGGTTTTTCGCTTCTCATTTGCGAGAGGAATCCTCGATTCCACCCTTCCACAATGTTATTAGTCACTGGCATCTCATGAATTATATTGCTATAACAGCTCCACATGGTGTACGGAAACATTGGAGGATTGCGGGTTCGTCGTTCAAATTTTCCAATCCACGTATCTTCAAAATAGTCAACAAAATTCTGCATTTGAACCGGTAATATATTTTGCTCTAGAATTATGTTGAACGACCTTTCGACAAAATTGACAGGGACAAAAGCTAGAGCTTCCAAAAGCTTGACTTTCCGCTGGAATTCGGGATCGCTGTCATATTTCTTCTTCAAGCCTAGGTTTGAAATTTTTCGGTAAAGGCACTGATTGAAAAAAAAAAAAGCAACCGTAATGTTTTGCATCTGGGAAGACTTCCTTCACTACGCTGATAAGGCTCACTTCGAAGTCTGTCATTACGATTTTACGTAACGAAACGTTGCCAAATGACAGTATACATTCTTTGAGATGTCTTAACGATCTAACATACGTCACTCTCTGCTTGTTGGGCAATAAAATATAAATCAGTGGAACAACAATTTCCCCAACTTTTCCGTGCACTGTGTACAATTGGTGAAAAAAATGGGGCACCGTTTTAAATGTCCCGTCTGCGAACCAGTACTGCGATATACTGAGTAGTCTCAAATTTTCTTCGGTTCCAAACATAAGAAATCGGGCTTCCTCTTCATCATCGTTGTCTGTCCCAGAATCGAACAATAAAAATTTCTCACCTTTTGGTGTTAATTTAAATTTTTCAGGTAGCACGAGCTCGTTCCTACTAATTGGAACCGAAGGAAATTCATTTTCCTTTATTCTGATATTTCTGATCGTCCTTTTCATACAAGAAATTGAAGGCAAATGAGTCCTAGTTACTTCGCTTGTACTAGCTGTTGCTTCGGATATAAGTGCCTGGGGCGGCTCCACTGATGTTCTAGATTTTTGTCTTATAGCTTGTAGAACCTTCCTAGTTTCCAATTTTTCGGGCGTACCGGCGTGATCGTGACTCCCTTTGGTCTTCACTAAAGGGCCTTTCTCAATAACACGACCCTTGCAGCCGCTTTTATATTGTTCGCACTTCCAATAGATGGTATCGGCTGTGATTCGATCTCGTACATAGATGTAACCCTCTTTGTGTAGAAAGTTTCTTCCCCGTTGGCTTTTAACGAATTCGTGATCTGACATTTTTTTCAAAATTTTTGACATAAACAGATATTACCCGAAAGACACAAAAATTGCACAATTTTGGGTACCACAGCTGCTTCGATAAAAAATTCTTTCGATCAATTGTTTTTTCGATCAATCGTTTTTTCGATCAATTGTTTTTCGATCAAAAATTTTCGAACAAATATTTTCGATCAAATTTCCGCGACCCCAATTTGATTTTTCATAACCTTAAATATTTACATACTACTTCTCATTAAAGCTAACCCTAAAAAATACAACAAACAAAAAAATTCATCCACACGATTACAGCGGCCTAACACCTATTTTAGTACAAAGTTTAGTAAACTGATTCGTTCCCAGTGCCTTAGTAAGGATGTCGGCCTTCGGATCTTCGGATGGGATGTATCGAACATCAGTGGTTTTGTTCTGGTACAAATCTCTTAAAAAATTGTTCTTCCCATCGACGTGTTTTAGACGTTGGTGTTCCCACTTGCACAAAGTGTGAATACACTACAATTGGTTCTTCCAGATCGAAGCCCAAATCTCTTGCAATATTTATCAGCCACCGGAGTTTGGTAGTGGCAGTTGCAAGGGCTACATCCTCCGCCTCCGTGGACGATAAGGCGGCAGTGGTTTGCTCCTCCTGCCTACTAGGAGTCTGCATAGCAGCTTAATGCTAGACTCCCTTTTTTCAGATAGAAACGGCCATGATCTGCTGTACCTTGGAGATATCACAAAATTCTCTCCAATTCAATCCAGTGCACTCACTCGTTCATCACGCATTTCTTTAGCATTTGCCGAGTGTAGACTTGCTGGCTCAAATACATGCCATCATCAGACTGATTCAGCTTTATACCCAGGAACATCCGCAATTTTCCTAAGTCTGTCATATTAAACTCTTCTTTAAACTTCTCTTTGAGGGTACTGAGAGTTCAATAGTCATTGGGCGCGAGGACAATGTCATCCATATAGAGTAGAAGCTAAATTTCCATGTGATCAATCATCTTCATATAAAAGCACTTGTCGTTTTCTGACCTTTTAAACGACAACTTCTTGATGTAGGCGTGAAAATGTGAATTCAATGATCGAGGGGCTTGCTTCCATACAAAGATTTCTTAAGACTGCACACCGAGATTGGAGCAGTGTTGATTCCGGAGGGAGTTTATATCTTTTTCCATTCAAACCTCATTTTAATTGGCCCCATTAGGTTACTATGCACAAGTTACAGTGGTCTAGTAGGTCTTGTTCTCGACTAGAGATGAGGTAATCTTGTCTCTCTATTCCTTGTACACATCTTGAACATATGCGTGGATTTTGCTCTAGATTTACCTGAATTCCATCAACCAGATGTTTTACTTTTTCGAGACCATTTCTACCGATGTGTCCCAATCTTTTGTACCATAATTTAGGGGTTTCTCTAATAGCCGATATCACAGCAGTACAGTCGACGTATAATACATTGACGGCCAACCAATTTCTTTTTATTGTAAATGCTATTTCACTTTCTAGATTCGAATACAGCCTTCAGGTCAAGCATTTCCAATTTCAGTATTGACAGTAAATTAAACTCTGAATTTGGAACTAAAAGCACATTATTAATAGTAACATGACTTTTATGTTCATTTACGATAACCTCAACAGTAAGAGCCCTCGTTTTTCTGGGAATCAAGAATGTGCCTGATTTTGCACTTCTTATTTGAACGGGTTTTTCGAATGTTTGTGCGTTCTTCAAAAAATCACGACTCTCTGTTAAATGTTCTGTGCATCCAGAATCCAAATACCATTAGTTGTCTGCATTAAAATTTCCAGTACACCAAATAATTTGTTACAATTCTTGGGATGCCGCATTATAGGCAGTAACAGTAACATTACTGTCTATAATGCGGCATCCCAAGAATTGTTACTAGTTACTAAAAATCCCTAACTGCAGAACTCAAATTGTGCCACCAAATATGCACTTGTCAACAACACAATATACTTGTCAATCTAATGTGACACGGTAACATTAAAGGCCCATTAATTTGGCATACGACACGTTTATGAATTAGTTGTTGTGCTAAAATATTAAAAGTATGTCATGCAGACTTTTAATACATTTATTAATCTATGTCCTTTCTTCAATCAGTAGTGACCACATTTCCACAACGTAATGTGCCTGTAAGAGTAGTATACGTACATCTACAGATGAACATGTGACATTTTCAGAACAGTAACAATAACTTCAAATAACTTTTGAGTGAAGCTTCTTACGCACCCGTACCTTCCATATCTATAAAAATATTTCACATTTGTAGCCCATCTCCATAAAAATAAATTTTAATTTTTCAAAGTGAGCACATGAAATATAGTGTCTTTACGACAAATATGTTCGACAGCTATCTCGGTCTCGTTCGACGTCGAAACAACCATACCCCTCCCACAAATCGCCAGTCATAAATCAAACAGAACTTGTTTGCGATATAAATAACTTTGTATAATAGACGTCCGCGCTGCATTTTCCTTAAAATTAGCTCCGGCGCGGCGACATTAGCATAATGAAGTTTTGAAAGTGTCCCGTTGCCGCCTCCGGAGCCTTAAATATGAAATCCCTCAACTCCCCGCCAACGAAGTGGCAATCTCATGCAAATTCCCATTCCATAGATTCGGTTTTACAGTATAGCAGCCAAAAACGTGCCGCCCCTCGCCAGCCCAAAAAGAGGAATATTCTCCTTGCTACAAGAAACCTCCCCACCATGACTTTATTAAATTATATATGTGGAGGCGGTGCGGCTAAACGCAATAGTTACGTGTTGGGAATGTTTATATCTTTATTACGGCTACTTCAGAATGAACGTCTCTTTCGTATATTGCGGCGGTTTCCACAAAAAAGTTGAAATTCCTTTCTCTTGTATAGAAAGTTTCTATGAGGTTACGGCTTCTCACATGAACAGGAAAATATATGAAAAATTATACCCGCTATTACTGTTGTTGTTTTCTTTTGATTTCGCAGGCGCTCATTCTTATTTCTTTGTAAGTGCAAGAGTTTTCAATCTTTTGGCTTAGTAAAGTGGAAGATTGGACGCAAAGTTTTATTTTAGTATGGAATGAAGGAACTTCAGCCAAATTATTTTGCTGTAACGTATAGACCCAACATCTTCTCTGGCTCAATTTTTATTATTTTCAGTTGTGTTTCTTTGCTATATTATTGGACATTTGCAGTCTTAAGTACATTTACCATATGATGAACCAAGGCTTTGAAGAAGTCGACCACTAATAATAAAATATTTGCAAATGCACGGGAATTTTGTCCTTGATTTTTGTGTATTAATGTCTTGAAACATTTTGTGTCAAAACGGCTTGTTAAATTTATATTTTAGGAGAGATTAAAGTTTGAACTTGCTTGTAAACGTTGTAAAATGCACCAAAATTACAACTACTTATTTCTAAGTGATTTCTTTATTATAAAACATGAAGTAAGTGGCATAATTAAAAAGAGGTAGTGGGAAATCGGACTTTAATAATAAAATTTTTACAATATTGCTGATGTTTCAGACATCCAACTTTATCCTTGATCAAGGTTACAAAATATAATGGCTAGGTGTCAGAATGACACTTATTTTCACTCATTTCTTACCTACTGTATAATTTAAATTTTGTCACTATAAAATTTATATCATTCTACAATACCTTAACTAAAATTATGAAATTAAAGGCGAATTTTTTTATGATTATATTTTATATCGTCATCCAGTCCGGCAAATTAATTTAGAAAACCAATGCACTAGTAATACAAAACAAAAACAAATGCACGTGTAATCAACTATTATTTTAAAATCAGCTTAAAACGTTAATAAAATCATTAGTAAGCTACAACTTAAAACAAACAATTTGTATATTTCTAATTACATGTTATCTTATCTTTAGTGTGTCATATATAAGAACTAAGAATAATCTTATAAATTTTACTTAGGTTGTTAATGTCTATTGATTGACGAAATAATATATTATATATTATTTTTCTTTGACTTTTTTAATATTTTTGTGGCTAAGTTGTGTGCTCTATAGACTAGATTTTGAATTGCATACGAGTATATCGATTTTTTGTTGAATGCTATGATTAGTATGACAGTTTTAAGTACAGAAGACGTAACATAAGTGAAGTGGTCCAAATTAGGAAAAACAAAACTGTGAACTTTAGAAATGACATTAACAAGGTAAGTAAAATTTATGACATTATTCTTAGTTCTTTTATATGACACATTTAAGATAAGACAATATGTAGTCAGAGATATGTAAACTATTTGTTTTAACATGCAATTTAGTTATGCTGGTTAACACTTTAATCTGATTTTAATAGTTATTCACATTACAATGGGGTAGAACCATCATTACACAACGAGTGTAATGTAGTGACGTTCCACGTACCTAGCAACCACATACATAGTGTAATTATGCTCTATCCCACGATTTTACTCAAAAAAATGCATATTTATTTTGTTAAATTAATATTGCGCAAATGTTACAAAACTAATTTGTATTGGAAAAATTATATTTATTATTTGCATTTATAAATCGGAAATTGTTTCTATTTTTGTATTTTGAACATATGTATGTTTTCCTAAAAATATGTTGTGCACGTAAATGATATGTATCCTTCACAATATTTTTGTGTTTTTGACAGCAACATTTCTTCCGTTTTCTCGTGAATTTCCTTCATAGCATATACAAAATTCTCTTACCTACGCCATGGGTATTCTATTCGGACAACAATTTGTCTCACGCCATCTGTCTTGGATTGATGATGCTGATAAAACGTTACAATTTGCCGCTCAGGTTTTGAGTTATTTTGATACACGCTACAAAGACGGAAAACAAATGAACTCTGACGTATATTCGCCTAGATAATACTATAATAGTGATTTACATATCAAGGGAGCAAAGTGAAACATTTCCTCCCGCGGATTCAGACGCGTAGCGTCGGGCCTCAACCTTAATCCGCGGGAGGAAATGGCACTTTGCTCAAGTGATATATACAGGGT